ACCTCCAGAAGAAAATGTCTTGGTTCACATTTTAACTCTGTGGGACTTTCAAATACTTGAGAGACAATATTTCAGGCTCCAGATTGAGGCTAAAGACTAGTTTCTATATCTCAGTTAAAACTGTATTTTATTTTCTGTAACCTTCTTATAGAGATTATTTTAATTAATAGTCATCCTACTATTTCAAAAAAATTAGAAATAAACTTCAATCAATTAACTTATTATGCAGTTTTTTGGCTTTTCTTTAATCTTACTTGCTAGATATATTAATGAAAATGGGCCTGCTAGAAAATGTATAGAAAATTAATCATTATGGAAGGAAGAAAACTAATTTCTCTGAGGAAGAAAACCCATAAAATTTGCAAAGTAGGAATAACATAATTTTTAGATTAACCAGAAAAATAATTTAAGGATATTTTTAACACAAAAATTATAAAAATAATTATAGTACCAGATAAGTATCTGCTGCTTTATAGTTTTCACTATCTCTTCATATGAGCGTGATTTTTTAAAAATTTATTTTTTAATCACCCAACTGTAAGAGATGAAGGCACTGTGGATTTCCTTTTTACGTGTTCCAACTAAGGAAATCCAGGGCTCAGAGAAATTGAAAGATTGCCTCAAGGTCACAGGGCTAGGTCTAGGGGAGTGAATCTAAGTACTCAGTGTTGTTTTTCTCAGCATGCCTTGGTGGTTCTCTATAGAAATTACAATAACAGAAAAGTTGCACCAAAAGGAATATTGTCAAATTTAGCGGAAGCTAATTAAAGTACAAAATATTCTTAATGCAAAATTTGATAGCCATTTATTTTCAGCAGCAAGTTATAGGTAATTTTGCAGTTATCTAAGTGGCTTTTTATTTCTGAAATTGCATTGTACTCACTGTTATTTTCTTGCTCTTTGCATTCTTTGCCATTTTTAATATCTTTAGTGATTTTGAAATATTTGGTGCTGGATCATTCTGCTGCAAATATGACCTGTCATTCCAACAAATGAACTGATTGAATCTGTCACACTGGTGGGATTTATAGTAAATTCACCACAGCACAAGTAAAACCATTAGAAATTGCATTGGTTTAAATGACTGAATATAGGAGTCCTCTGATTTTATCATCAGGCTGGCTTATATTTTTTCTTCAAATGACCATGGAGAATCTTAAAATTACATCAATTTTAATGTGCATAGGTTGCTATGTTGATTTCTATTTCAGATCTCTAACATGGTTTTGGCCTCTAAAATCTCTGCATTGATATAATTTATGAAAAGAATTAATAAGCTTTTATACTACAAAGTTTTGCTTTGAAAACAATGAATATATCTAGAATGTTTTCTCAATTTTAATTGTAACATATATACATATATGTATATGTTTTAGTGTGCATTTACTACTTTTAGTATATATATATATATTAGGATACTCATTTAATTATGTTAGCTTTTAGACTAATCTACAATTGAACTAGAGAAAAAAATGAGTTATTGGGTAGAACCTATATCCTGGAGAAAGTTTTCAGGTATTGATAATTTGAAAATAATTCAATGATTTTGCTGTTGTCCGTGTTCATATAATCCTTGCTATTCCAATTAAAATATTTTGAATCATTTTTGCCTCTAAAGTAAAAACAAAATAATGCAAGTTTAATTTTTAACACATAAACAATTTTTATTATTTTGTATAAATAAACTATATTTTGTTTTCTGTTGTTTGCCTCCACTTACTTGATTACCTGTTTTATATTTTCAGATTTAATGTAGTCATGTTTCACAGTTTATTTTACTTTGTTAACCTACCAGTTCAACTTGATACTATCCCTATCTGAATACTAAAACCACAATAAAAAAAAAAACAATTTTAATAGTCTTGTAAAACAGAGCACATAAAACAAGAACATTTATTTTAGTTGAAGACATGTGCTAATTTTTTATTGAGAAATGCATTAAACATTGATACATCCAACCTCTGATTGAACCTTCAGACTTGTCACATGTAGGAGCTGCTGAAGATTTATTGCACAATATAAAATTAGGCATATACAGTAAACTTGATAGTAAATGACCTTTGCAGACAAGAGACTGCCACAGAGAATAGCTGCACAATAGAAGGGGATTTGAAAAACATATTTAAAGACATTCAAAGATGAATGATGGAAACTGAAAAACATAAAGAGAAAAAAAATTCTCCAATGAAACAGACATATAGAAAATATACTTTCTAAAATGAACAGATATTTCTAACACCTCTAACTCATTTATTATATAATGCAACAATCCATATTAAAGGGCAGGCGTTTAACTCGAAATATGTAAATATTCCTATTTAATCATACCAGTTTCACAAAGTCCTTGTGGAAATATAAGCATAAAAAGATCTATTTGGTGCCTTAAAAAGGACAAATTAATAAAGCAATAAAGATTCACATAAAGATGAATAAAATGTGTCACAAGCAGGGCACCTTGTGATCTGACAGGAGGTTGACTTCATTGTGAATTGAATTTAGTGCATGCTTCATTCGATTATCTGTTGGTTCCTCCCTTTTCTTTTCTCTTCTCCTTTCTTCTTTCTCTCTCTTGTCTTTCTGTCTTTCTCTTTGTCTTTCTCTGTCTGTCTTTCTCTTTCTCGGTCTCTCTCTATTTCTCTCATTCTTAAGTTGATTGCTCATCATCATGAGGCTTCCTTTATGGACAATTACAAACATGTCCGCTGCAACACAGGTTTACTGGCATGATCCTTTAATGATTCTTTCATTGGAAATCCTAGAAATTGGGTAAAATATATCTTGACATTTTAACATTGCTTGTTCAAGTGATTAAATTAAAAAAGTTATATCAGGCTCACAAAAAGTAGTATAAAATAATTTTAAGATAACTACATTTATTTCCTATAAATGAGACTAGGTTATTTTTTAAAAAATGATAAAACTCATAACTATAAGAAAACACTGCTAATAATGACTATGTCTAGAAGTGAATCAATTTTTCTCAAGAGAGCAGAATAAAATTCATATTTATAAAATCTGTTTTTTATAATATGAATAAAAAGATTGCTCTAGTCGGTTTTTCTAAACTAATGTTTTCTTGATTTTTATGTGATTTTAATTCATATTTTATGAATCTGCATGGTTTCTTTTTATACACAAAACAGATGGAACATTTGGAGAGACATATTAAGATTTCTTTGCTTTTTAAAAAATGTTCAGAAACATTTGCTATTTTTTTAGATAAAATTGCTACAACTAATCTTTTTCTACCAATTTCGAGTCTAATACCTAAACAAATACAGGTTGAGCATCTCTATTCTGAAATCCATAATCTGAAGCGTTCCAAAATTCAAAACTTTGTAGGCACCAAGATGATGCCACAAGTCGAAAATTCCACACCAGATCTCACATGACTGGTCGCAGCCAAAACACAGTCAAAACTTTGTTTCATGCACAAAATTACTAAAAAATTGTATGAAATTACCTTGAGGCTATGTGTATAAGGTGTATATGAAACATAAATAAATTTCATGTTTAGAATTTGGTCCCATCTCCGAATTATTTTATTAGGTGTATACAAATATTCCAAAATTCAAAAAAATCTAAAGTCTAGAAAAACTTCTGTTCCCAAGCATTTTGGATAAGGGATACTCAATCTGTAATAGCATTTTTAGTAGTTTTAGTAAAGTAAACATAGTTTGGTAATACCTTTTGGGGACACACGATAAAAGGATATTTCAGACTTCTGAGAACTTGATGTAATTGATCGCTCTGAATCCTAAGTCCAAACATCAAATCTGAAGTAATAAATAATATTCTATTTTTAAAGAGAGTGAGGAGGGAGTAGGAAAGTCCTCCTGAAATAAATAGGACCACATCATAAAATCCCAGTAAGTGATCTCATTTAGCTATGAAAATGAATTAGAAAACAGAGTTTATCTTTTTCTTAGATCAGAGATATGATACAGAAGATAAAGAGGAGACCAACTAAGGGCTGAACTTGACTGCTAACACAACATTACTCTGCCTTAGTGTCTATTTTGTTTCCTACTCATATATTCCTCTGAGATTTTGTCTAGACATTCTATCTTTCTTATTCTTTCTTTATTACTTTCATTTTTCTCCTTCCTTCTTTTTTATTGAGTTTCTATTAGGTAGGGCATTACTAAGGAAAAAAAAAAAAAAACAACGTCTGTAGTTCTTTTCAAAAAGCAGAGTTCAAAGGGAAATTTATTTACTGGAATGAAGATTCCACACGAGGAAAACCTTTTTTTTTTTACCTGGCAACTATACAATATCCTTGAAATCCATCATTGTATAGAAAAGTAAATTCCTTGTATTATTAATACTTTTAATGAAAATAGACTTTGAAAGGTTCTGACACGGAGTTTTGTGCATGAGGTAAAGCTGGTAGAAGACTTAGCATTGACAAATTGAAGTGCTATCTCCTCCATTTTCTTTTGTTTTTTAACTTTTGCTGGTAAGTCTAGTAATTTTCTAACTATCCCCTCACTATGCAGCCTGGAAGGCTTCCTTGAAAACATTGTAAATACTATGCAGATTTGTGTGCTTTGTCTTCCCCAGATTGTGATGCTACTAAGGTGATTGCAGTCAAGTTTACACATAAGGATATTTAGTCTGAATCTTGCTGCAGCAAATGATAGGTGAAAGGTTAAATTACAGAGTATCGAATTTTCATTTAAAAAATTAATTTACACTAATGTTCGATGTTGAGCTAAAGTGGTTCAATAAATTGAATTTTGCAAAGAATTTAGTATTTTGATTCACAAAGTATATATGTTATAGCATTAAATTAAGCTGTTGTCTTTATGGTTTTTTAGTCACTCCCTAGTAATAAATTAAGACTTGATCAAGATACTCTTGGCAATCCACAAATTTTCAATGAATTTTCTCCTTCCTTCCTGTATTTTGATTCCAGTGAAGTTACCATTAACCTTTTTATTTCTTATGTATTATTTAGTCATCAAATTTTATTGTCTACCTACTATGTGCCAGGTACTATGCTGATCTTGAGGAAATGGCAGTGAAGAAGATGAAATTCTTATTGGCAAGAAATTTACAAACTCCTTGGAAAAACAGACAAGCAAATTGATGTGGTAAGTGCAATAGTGAGAGTAGTTACTATGGAGGCATGCTTCTTGATCCCATTCTTTTGCAATAGTAGTGCTATTCTTAGTAATGCCTAATCTTTTTGCCTTTCTTCTTTTCTGTAATCAATCCTATCTCACTTGTGAAATTCTTTTTTTTTTTTTTTCCTTATGTTCTACTGAACACTTTAGCCTCTTTAAACGTTAAATAGAATCATTTAATATCAGGGCTATCTCTGTGTCAGCCTCTATTGACAGTTTCTTCATTTGATCATGGGTTACATTTTATAACTTCTCTCCCCTCCCTTTCCTTCCCACCCTCCCTTTCTACTTTACCACCTGATTGTCAGCTTTTGGGCATGCTGGGGACTACTTTTGGTTTTCTGTGAAACTGGCCATGTTTTTGTCTGACTCTCTCTCTCTCTCTCTCTCTCTCTCTCGCTCGCTCGCTCGCTCGCTCACTCGCTCTCGCTCTCTCGTTCTCTCTCCCTCTCTCTCTGCCTGGTTCTCAGTTTTAGGAGTGTAACTAGATTACACTCTGCGAAGGCCCAGAATGACTCAGAGGACTTGTACCAGCTCTCCTGCTCCTCTCCAGACTCTGACAGCTGAAATCCCAGAGTGTTTCTTCTACCTCTTGTTTCAGATATTTTAAAGATGTCACTCCACTGTCTTCTTTCTTGCATTATTTCTGATGAAAAATCTGCTGTTATCTTTATTTTTGTTCCTCTCTCCATAACACTTCATTTTTTTCTGATTGGATTTAATTTCTTTTTATCACAGGTTTTGAGTGTTTTGGTTATGTTATATGTTGGTGTAGTCTTGGAGTCGATTGAACATTTTGAATCTGTGGGCTTATATTTTTCATCAAATTTGGAAATTTTGGCCATTATTTATTTAAACTTTTTGTCTTCATTTTTTCTACTCCCCCCCTCCCCCAGTCTTTAGGGTCTCTAATTATACCAACATTAGTACATTTGAAGTTGTCCATCAGGTCCCTGGTGCTCTGTTTATTGTGGATTTTTTCTGGTTTGTTTTTTAAATTGTCTTTTCTCGCTTTGTTTCATTTTTTAATAGATTTGATTGCTGTTATGTATTCAGGCTCAATAAACCAATAATATTTATTCTGAAATATCTAATCTTCCACAAATTGCATCCAGTGCATTTTTTATCCCATATTTTATAGTTTCCATCTCTAGATGTTTATGTCTTGTTTTTATATTTTCCATGTCTCTACTTAAATTTTTCAACATATGTAATACTGTCATAATAACATTTTAATGTCTTTGTCTACTAGACACAGAATTGCAAGTCACAGTTATAACATCTGTGTTAGTTCTGGATTGATTGCTACTGATTCATTTTTCTTTTCATTACGGGCCATATTTTCCTGCTTTATTGTATGCCTTTAACTTTTTGTTGAATGAAAGATACTAGGAATTTGTCTTCATAGGCACTAGATATCTTTGTATTCCCAGAAATGTTCTTGAGATTTGCTCTGGAATGCAGTTAAGTTACTAGAAGAAAGTTTGATTTTTCTTCTTTTTTTTTTTTGCTTTTTTCCTTTTATTTCATCATATTATGGGGGTACAAATATTGTTAGGGTTACATATATTGTCCCTGCCACCCCTCCCCCTCATGTGCCAGAGCTTCAAGAGTTTCCATCCCCCAGGTGGTATGCACCGCACCCATTATGTAAGTATACACCCTTCCCCTCCTCCCCCATCCCACTTGCCCACCACCTTATAAAATTGTTTTTTTTTTTGACATTTTGGTTACATTGTATATCTTTGCCTCTCCCTAAGAAGGGTTAGAGGTATGCCCTTCCCCCCAACAATGCTCGCCACATCCCTAAGATGTGGGTCTCCCCCGCAACCCCACCCCCCCAAATCCCTGGTGATCATTACCACCATTTGAGCACCATAGTTTTAATCAGTCAGTACCAATTTGATGGCGAGTACATGTGGAGCCCATTTTCCAGATCTTGTGTCACCTTACTTTGGATAACGGGCTTAAGCTTAATCCAGCATAGCATAAACGGTGCTAGCTCACTGTCCGTTTCTTAGAATTGAGTAATATTCCATTGTGAGCATATACATTTTTCTAGGTCTTACTGTCAAGGTTTTTTGCATGGAATTGGAAATCCCCAAGCTGATATAAGACCCTTTGAGTGCTCTACCTAATGCTTCATAAATCATGTGATTTTTAAAAATCTGGCTAGTATAAAAAGGCACTGTTTATGGTTCTGAGTGAGCCAAAGGCAATCTTAATACTAATCCGTTTAGGTAGTTTTTCTCAGCCTTGGGTAGTTTGCTCACAAGTATGTACTGACCAGTACTCAGTTGAATATTTGAGGGGGAGCCTTAGTTTGTCTCTGGAGTTCTCTCCCTGAGCAGCTTTCTTTTTCTGGTACTCTGTTTTTAGTACTCTAGCTGCTAGCTTCTATAGACTTTAGATTCATTGCCTCAATTCAGAGAATTTGGTGGGCTCCTGAGCCATGTCCTTGAAAATTCCCTCAAAGATGTAAACTGGGAAAATTGTGGAGCTCACTTTTTTTACTTGTCATCTGTCAAGGATCGCTGTTTTTCATTGCCTGATGTCAGCTATCTTGAAAACTGTTTCATATATTTTATTCATTTGGTGATTGTTTCAGGCAGGATAATAAATTTTGCACCTGTTACACCATCTTGGCTGGAAGTTCTTTCCCCCTTCTTATTACTGCTGCTGTTTTATACTTCAAGGGAGTTCCCATATGCCACAGGGATAATGCTTTTCAGCTTACCTGACCATGCCCTAAACCTTGGTAATATTCCTGAGTGCTTGATAATGATTCATGAGAAGGTTTTGGTAGGTTGTATAAAATTGCTCTGTGCCAGGGCTCACCTTATGCAAAATCACACCCACTTATTAAAAGGTCATTTAAAATTTGTCTGCTAGATTCTTACTCTGTGGTGGATTTCTTTTCCTCCTCTAGTTGTAATGGGAATAAAAGCAGCTATAGGTCTCTTCTCTCTTATAAGGATCTAAGGACTTTCTGGTATTTAGTTCATAGAGGTGTCTTTGCATTCTCAGTTCTCTGATGGGTTTGAAAAATTGATAACTTCATAGCTTCTCTTACTAGTTTGGGGATTAATGAAAGCCATATTGTCTTAAGAACTGTCTTCAACCTATCCAAAAAAGGAGTTGTGTTTTGTAACCTATGTCTTCATTCAGGTTTACTTTTCTTCTTTTTGTAGCACATCCTTTCAATGATTCCTTTCATGAGAACCTAAGGACAGTAATTTGGTTTGCCAATGTCTCTAGTTTGTCCTTGATTTTGAGTAATATTTTGAGTGTAAAATGTTGAAAGTCATTTTCCTTTGGACCTGAATATATTATTCAATTGTCCTCTAGTATTTCTTGTTATTCAGAAGAGGTCTACTCTGAGCCAATTTTCTTTTGGAGATAATATGTCTTTTTTCTCTCCAGTAGCTTTTGAGATTGTGTCATTTTACACACAATCTGAAGTTTTTCTACAGTATGTTTAAAATTGTATGTATTTTAATTTATCCATACTGCTATCTAAAGTATAACTATAACTGTAATCTATGGATATAAATTTCTTTTTGAAATTGAGAAATCCTTAGTAGTTATATTTTCACATGTTCCTTTTGTCTATCTTTTGATTCTTTCTATTAGTTTTTATGCTGGAATATATGATCTTAACTTCTCATTCATATAGTTTATTTGTATCTTTGCATTGTCTGACTTCCTTAGTAGTATCTTCCATTTCCCAATTTTCCAATTTGTGGTTTGATATTATTATATTTTTAGATGTTTATTATTATGTTTTATTTTGATGATTTTTAATCTATTTTTCTTAACTACCTAATATAAGCTTTTTTCATAATTTATTTGCTTTTAATATAAGGTATGATCTATTTTTGTCTCTGAACAATTTAAAACATAGTTGCAGTAGTCTCCCTGTCTTAGTTTGTTTGCATTGCTGTAAAGGAATATCTGAGGCTGGGCACTTGTCTAATATGAAAAAGAGGTTTATTTGGCTCAAAGTTCTGCAGGTTGTACAAGGAAGCATTGCACTGACATCTACTTCTGTGAGAACCTCGGGAAGATTCCATTCATGGCAGAAGGTGGCATCACATGGTGAGCAGAAGGAAGCAAGGGGGTTGGGGGGAGAGAGAGAGAGAGAGAGAGAGAGGCTCTTTTTTAACAATCAGTTCTTGTAGGAACTAATAAGAATACAATCTCAGTACAGTGAGGACAGCACCAAGCTAACCAAACCATTCATGAGGGATCTACCCCATAACCCAAATACCTCCCACTAGGCCCTGCCTCCACCATTACAGATCGCATTTCAACATAAGATTTGAAGAGGACAAATATCCAATATTTGTCAAATGTATCATCAAATATATGATCAAATATATCATCCCCCCTTATCAGTGGTGTCACTGATAAAACTGCAGTTTTGATTATCCATAGTCCACTACGGTCTGAAAATATTAATAGAAAATGGAAAATTCCAGAAAGAAGCAATTCAAACATTTAAAATTGCACACTGAGTGGCATGATGAAATCTCATGCCGTTCTGCTCTATTCTGCCCTGGCCATGAATCATTTTTTTGTCCAATGTCTCCACACCGTAGATGCTACCTGCCCTCCACCTAGGAGCCATCTCAGTTATCATATCAAGCGTCTTAGTGCTTGTGTTCAGGTAACCCTGATTTTACTTCATAGTGGCCCAAAGAACAAGAGTAGTAACGCTGGAGATTTAGATATGCCAAAGAGAAGCTGTCAAGTGCTTCCTTTAAGTAAACAGGTAAAAGTGCTGGGTTTATTAAGGCAAAGAATATATAATATGCTGAGGTTGCTAAGACCTATAGTAAGAACAAATCTCCTGTCCATGAAATTGTGCAGAAAAAAAGAAAGCCATGCTCGTTTTGCTGTCGAACCTCGAAGTATAAAAGTTATAGCCACTGAGTGTGATAGTTCTTAGTTAAGATGGAAAAATC